TGAGGAAGCTGTGCTCCAAGACGTTTGCACAGACTCTCGAATTTCGTGTACCGAGCTATGTTTGATATTGGGGTACTATTCTTCGGTACGAAGCACGAGTGTATGTTGACTTCTGAGTTTATCGAGGCTCGATAACTGTGTTGGAGGAGAAATGAAGTTTGGATGGAATGGGATTCGTCGATTTCAGGTTTAGAGGGATGTTTGATCTTGGGATTATGAAGGATTCGCGATTTGCTCCGGTAATTCGATTAGGCGACTGGGGAAGGGCGTGGTTGAGCATTTGACAGTGTTTCTGTAGAAGAAACTTAATTTGTCGAATATGTATTTGGAAATTTGACGTTGAAAAATCGGCTGGCTGACACGAGAGTGAGATAAAGCGAATCCTTCCAATTTCACAGGTTAGATTTAACATTCGTCGTTCAGCGGTACGTTTTTCTGCATCAAATGTGGGAATTAGAGGTTTCACCCCGGAGAAACCTTTTTTTCTACGGGATTCCTGCACCCACCCACGTTAGATTTGCCTTTGAATCGACGCGTCAGGTCCTTGCATCCGGCAGGATCCTTTCCTCGAGGTCGAAACACTGTTAGGATGTCTAGCGTGAACGGTGATCTACAGGGTGTCTGTTTTAAAAGTCGTAAAAACTGTCTCCAAAATTGTCCTCTTAGTTGTCACAAAAGAAACTGAAGGTATCGAAAATTCTTCAGTATAAAATGAAACTTTAATCGGTATAAATAACTTATCTGCAGATGGTAAAATGTTTTCATAAAACAAAATGTCCTGCAAATGGAACGGTTAATTTTTTTAAATAAAAATCCTCCGTGATTTTACACAGTTTTGCATAAAACGAAATGATTTGATGCGACACCTCTTTCAATTCCTCTCAGTAAACGCTACAATATTAAGATTAAAAAAAAATAGTGTTCCACTCAAAAAAATTAACTTCACTTTGAAATCCTCTCTAATTTTTTCCACTTACAGGAGAATTATTTATACTACATAACGTACAAAATAACTTTTGCAGAAGCATCTTTCTAATATATTTTTGTGATTTTCCCTAAGTTAAAGCAGACACCCCGTATTTAAGTCCCGTCTCGAACGAATTTCAACGCGGTCCATTTTTACCCCGAACTTAACTGTCTCGAACAGGTTCGAGCTTGCGACCGGAAGAAAGCAGATCGATTGGAAATGCTATCTTCAGGCGCCTACGGTTCACGTAATCCTCCGCGAAAAATGGTCCCTTCCTCGATTCGTCCGGAGGAACGTGACTGAATCGTCACGGGACTTCTTAAGAAAACGATACATCTTGCGTTTGCAAGGTGTGACGTATCTTTTTTTCCGGGGAATTTCGAAACTCTGAAATCTTGGAAATTCTCTGCGTGACTCATGCTGCTTCATGGCAAATTAAAGTAACTTCTTCTCCAATAATTCTCCAATTTTGAGTGTCTACTTTTCTTTTTTTTAACCTTGCGTTTTGCTCGCTGTAATTTTGCATTAGGTCCTTGGAAATTATATTCAGATTTTCTTCCGATTTTCAATTAGATCCTTGGAACTCCTATTTAGTGAAGATTGTTTTTAGAGTTGCAAGCATTTGTTGAAAAAAAAAAAGCGAGTATTTCTGATTTTTCGTTACACGTGCAGAGAAAAAACGAGACCACGGATGCAGGTTCGAACCTGCACCGTGAAGAAGAAGGTCGTTTCCAGTATCTTCCTTTGAATCCTTCGACTTCACACAATTCAGTACAAGAAGAGGCCTTTTCTAGAGCACACAATAGGCAAACGTGTCTGAACTTGCACGAGTCCCTCAGAAAATACACGCATTTCCCATTCCTCCACCTTCTTGCAAACACACCTTTCTGCATAAATTTGCAAACTCCTACTTCCGTAAGATCGGTGTTCCAGAGAAATGCACGTATAAATTTTCTCAACACTGCGCCCAAAGAAATTCGACCGAAATTTCACCGACAGACCGCCCAAGATTTTTCATGCGAACGAAGCTTAACACGTTAAGCGCGGCGTCAGTCCGTGGTGACTGACAGTGAACTTTCCGTTTAGGCGGCGTCGGTCCGTGGGAACTGACAGAGGACTTTTCCTTTGGGTGACCGGCAGTATCATGTTTAAAAAATAAATGTTACGCACGTCTCCTTCTTTTTCTTTTTCGCAATTTATGAACACTTCTACCAAATCCGGATTGGTATTTCTTCGTCTGAATGCCGTGTGAGCGCATTTGTTATCTTCTGTTTATACTCTATAACCGAACAGCTCGCGAAGTGATCGCCGCTGTGTGCCGCCAGGACGGAAAGCAGAGCGAAATCGTGTTAAAGATGGTAAAAATTTATCGCAAAGAAAGACGTTGAAACGTGCAATAAAAATGAAATACTTCGGGGAATACATGGTATACAAAATGTAATTCGAGCGAAATTTCACCGGTAAACCATCCTTGATTTTCGTTGCAAACGAAGCTTTAAGGATGAGCAAAATTGATCGCAAAGAAGCTCGTAAAAATGTGCAATTAAAATGAAATACTGCTAACGTGATTATCTCCGTTTTACAACGACACGTTCTCTTTGTCCCGAATGCATCACGCTGGTCGCCCTGTGTTGTGCAGCTGGTACCTTAAAGGGTTAACGCGAATCGCCCAAGTGGGTTAGTAGGTGGAACTGGGAACGATCCGAGGACGGAAAACATTCTGAATTTTTATATTGTACCGCGGAGAGCAACTTCGAACACGTTCCTTCTGCCAAGCAGGAGCAGTTAAAAAGTGAATTGTATGCCGGTTGCAGGTTCGAACCTGCACACGAAGGAAAAGCAGGTCGATTCGAAACGGAGCCTTTTGCCTTTAACACAATCTTCCGCGTTCTCTACTCTATAGAGGGCAAGCTGAAAGGTGTTCCAACTTGCATCGTCCTCCTTTTTCTTTATCACGGGTAAGCTGACGATAAGGAAAAATAAATTTCACCGGGAGCATTGTCGGGAGATCAATGGTAGCTTTATAAAGGATAAATGTAGAATGAAAATAATAAAAAATTTTCTGTGAAGGATATCTGCAACTGTCTGACACGATAAGTGCAGGGAAATAATGGCACAATTGCTATTGCTATAAGAGCTGGAATAATGCAGAATTAACACAGGAAGAGAAACGGCGAAATAGAAGAGCCAAGGTAAACGAAATTTGACTTAAAAGAATTGCAAATTAGCCATGTAAAAATTATTTTATATAAAAATATTAGTAATAATGAAATAATAATGTTAAAAATATTAGGCCCTGTGAAAATTGTAAACTTAGCCTTGCAAAAATTATTTACATAATAACATTAGCAATAATATACGAAGCCTTCTAAAAATTATTTCAACCAATAAAACAATCTCCCAAATAATTACCCTAATTTATCAATCACACCATTCTCCTCATTCTTCACACGCATCACACTCGGAATAACCTACCAAAACACCCACAAATCTCAAATCCTTCGAACCCAAAGTTACCGCCCCATTTCCAATTTAACCCAAAAACTCGCAGTATACACATCCCTGCCCCGAGAAAGAAAAATTCAACGCAATATTACATTGGTCGTCCCGTTAATAACCTGCTCGAAACGATCTGCTAACCCAAATTTCTAACCCTTTCTACCTGGCCCCGGGTAAGAAAGGGTTAGCGGAAACCGGGCAACAATGAGGGAAAGGGTTTCTCTCGCCAGAGAAAAGGTTCACCTGTGAAAGGGTTAGCAATGGGACAAAAGAGAATCACGAGTGGCGTGACAAGTGCAACGCCTCTTGCAAAAAAGGAATATTATTCGAATCACGCTCACTACGATAAGCAGTGTCCAATCACTGCAGCCACGACTGCAGCAGCAGCAGCAGCACGTTTAATCGAACCACGGAGAGTCGCGTAATCGCACCTGGTCTTTTCCACAAAACAGGGAAAGAAAGGATGGTGCACATGTCGATCGCAGGACAGCTGCGAAAAACGTATTTTCGCACGTTTAATCGAACCACGGAGAGTCGCGTAATCGCACCTGGTCTTTTCCAGAAAACAGGGAAAGAAAGGATGGTGCACATGTCGATCGCAGGACAGCTGCGAAAAACGTATTTTCTTTTGCAGCAGCACGAACGAACTGTGCATGGTTACACACCTTCAATCGTCGTTGGTCACCAGAAATAGACGTGACGAAACGAAAGGAGAAGGAAGCAGGAACCCTTGAACAGTGGAATTCAGAAATCCTCTTTCACCCGCTCGAAATTCGTTCGTAGTACTCACACACTTCGTGGAGATCGAAACACCACGTCTCTTCTCTCTCTCTCCCCCCCATCATTTCACGATTGCGTCCAATAGAGGAGAGGTCTCTCCACATGTTCTCGATGCACGTGTGCCCTTTGTGCAGGTTTTGACCCTTTTTACCTGAGAATGTTCGACACGGAACACGCGGGGGAGAAACGGTACGGACGAGAAAAGGGAAACACGAACAAACACAACCCGCTTTACCCCATTCAACCACGTAAGATATGCATCTTCGAGGCTGAATAGGCTTGAAAATAACGAAATTCCATCGGAGATTTTCGTGATTTTGAATAATATTGCATCCCCCTTCCAATTTCTCTCTCCACGGTGCCCGGTTCACGAGTTTCAAAGGGATCGAAAGGGTCCTATATAGCTATTATTGTACTCCTGAAAATTCTCTCGGCCGGTCCAGCCGGACAAAGGACTCCGAGTTCGTTTTTCAGGGATGGACAGCCGCCTGGTTGAAGCGTAGGATTTGCCTATGGAAAAATCAGGGGAAAGGAGAATCGTGGGTGATTGCGAGAGGAGAATTTTCAGGATCGATAGCGTCGATTTTGTTACGAAATTTTTTCCTAGAGTGTTCCGGTTTGCTTGGGTTAATTTTTGTGAACAGAACGGAGTGTGGGTTGAATTTAGGTTTGATTGTTCGGTCGAAATTTAGTTTCCTCAGCTTCGCGAATTAGGATTTTTTAGATTGTTGACAGCTTGGAAATCGCAACTCACCCATTGGTGCACGTGCCTGAAGAAAGGTTGACGTCGTCACCGCTTGTCCTTTGCGTTGTCTGCAACAGAAATTGAAGGAAGAGTCTGTTAGAAAATTTAGTCCAACGAACTTTAATTTTACGAAAATAAGAAGTGTGAAATTTACTAAAATTTACTATACACTTTTGCAAATGTTTCAAAGTTAGTCACCAAATCACATGATTTCCTCTCACGAACAAAATAAGTTTAATAAATTTCAATACAGTTCATCGAACCAAGTTATTATCCTCTATAATCCCTAAACTACACAAGAAACTCCGATAAAGGAACGATACAAACGGAGGGAGAAATCTCCACGCGATCTCCGAGCTCCGTTTCTCGCGGCGAAGCGAATCAATGGCGGAGGAAATCTCTCCACGCGTTGAAATCTCCACGCGTCTACTAATCGTCTCTCCGTGAAGGATGAACGAAATTCGACAGGCGTCCCGAAAAAAAATATTTAATAAGCAGGAAAAAAGCGTAATAGGGTGGAGCTACTATAAATTCACCCCGTTACATCGTGAAGAGAGGAGAGGAAGGAGAGATAAAATTCCAATTATGAAGATCTCTATCAGAGGGGGCCGTTGCCTACCTGCCGAAAACGATTACCAGCGTTGTAGAAGCGAGAAAGAAAAAAGGAATACGGTAGTCCGTATTACGGGTTATTTTTCGCTCGGAGGCAAAACGGGGGACCATTTTTTGTCTACCCTTTCGTTCGTTAGTTTTCATCCAGGGCGCTTTTTTCTCCCGCTTCCTATCCACCGAACAAAATCTTACGAATTCTCCACGATTGAACGGTGACGCGTTTCCTAGGTTAATTATCAATTTTTCCACGTTTTTGTACGCGGTTTCGTGGGATTCTGAAGAAGTGTATCAAGGTGAATTAGAAGTTACACAAGAATTTTTTTTTAGTTATTTCGTGTTTGTTCTTCGTTGGAGGGTTTGTTAGGCGCGAAAGTAAAGTTTCTTCTTCCTGGAAACGCGAAGTTGTAACAGTGGATAAATATTATCGAGGAATTCGCGTCGATAGCAGAATTTGCTCTCTGATAAAGTTGCACTGAATTTTTCTGCAAACGTGAGTTTCCTAGATCGTGGATAATTTGATTCAGACCTAGAAAAATATGTCATCTCTCAATGGCGGAAATTGACGGATCTTGTAATCTTCGTCGAAAAAATTTGAAAAATATAAAATCATCTTTCAAATTTTGTCACTGGAAAGTAGAAAATTCGTCGATTCTTACTGTGCCTCTATCTCTCCAACTTGCAATCTTCAACGAAAAAATTTGAGAAATACAAAATTGTCGTTGAAAACTACAAAATTCGTCGATTAATATTATTCCTCTGTCTCCAATAATTTTCCACACATATCCCACTAAATGAATTCATTATTTCCAACTTTAAAAATGATTTTCAACCCTTCACTGTGAACGATTTCCAACATAGAAGAATACCTGTAAAATATTTTTTCAAAAGCTACCACATACCAAAATTCGATCAAAATCGATGATTATCACTTCGAGATATTCCCCTGCAAGTGTCTTTCACAATACGACGAGGTGTATTGCTTATGCGCTACACTGGAGCAATCGGAAATAGCTCACTGGTAGCAGCTAATTACGACTTTCACGATTGGAGAATCTTCACTCCTCATCTTCGAAGCGGAGAAAAAGAGAAAAAGTTTTGATTTATGCTACAGACGTACAGAAGTACGAAGTCATCGGAATTTAACGAACCTATTAAGATTCCACCTGACCTTTTCCTTGTGGTAGTTACTTACTCGATTATTGAATTGATTCCACCGATAAGCTACACTTTTTTCCCAGGGTCGATGTGTTATCAATGAAATTTTCATCTTACATCTCGCAAGTTCCATTAAAACTGTTAAATACTAAGGAAACGTGAACTGAATATCACTTTAAACAAATTTTACAAACAAAGGGAAGAATCCTTTCAAGTAGTCCATAAAATCTGCTCGACATTTTTATCGCTGGCTTTTAAACAGAACGAGGAAATTCAACTACACTCCTCTCATATGTGTGCGCGTGTTTTTTTTTTTCGCCACTGCACAAAGGGTAATCGTATCCTCGTTGTTCACAATAAGCACGAGAGATTTGATCGGTGCGGGTTTAAAGGGTTACGGCGACCTTGGCCAATTTTTTCTGGCGCCCTCTTCTTTCATCGTTCTTTAAATCATGCTCCCATTACAACAACAGCTAACAATTATCAATAACAAATATTGAATATAAAACAAAAAAAAATCACAAAATTGAAACGATCAAAATTTACGAATAATACCATCCAGGCAGAATAATTTTAACAACCATTTAGATTTGCCTCGTATTCACCAAGCGTCCCAATCACTTCACACCTTTGCAATGAAAAAAACGACGAGAAGAAGAAAAGAAGAGAGAAGAAACGGACGTTATCACCGAGAATCAATATCAAGTCAGTGTCGAATAAAACTTGACAATTTCGCCAGAGGAACGATTTAAAAGCGACGAAAAATAAAAGAGAGAGAGAGAGAGAGTCATCTGGAACGGGATGTATAGCCATTATTTTAATCCGAAACCGCGCGCGGTCCACGACGAAGAAGGCCCCGTGCGTCCGTTCCTTACACCGTAAAACAAACACGTAAACAGGCAACGTCATGTAAGCAGGTAACCAAATCCTTGGAGGGAAACCTGGTATCTCGATCATGAAATCAGTACGATTACACGGTCGAGTTCAAGAGAGAAAGAGAGGGAGAAAGAACGTCGAGTATCTCGGGTAAGGGGTAAAACGAGAGAGAGAGAGAGAGAGAGGAGAGAGAGAGAGAGAAGAGAGGGCAAAGAAGGGAGAAGGATGGCCTTCTGGATGCACCTGCCGGTGACGTCAAAAAGGACTTCTTGTTTCGAGCTGTACAGCCCCGGGGGTCACTACTACTGTTTCACCATCAGCCTCCTCTCTTCTCTTCCTTTCTTTTCTCCCTTTATACGGAGCGGAGGCTACACGAAGACCGCGAGAACACCACTCACCTCCCCTCGCCTCGTCCATTATTTATATGCTAATGAAAAACCCGTGAAAAGGCGCGATATCGACCTTCCTTCATCCCCGGACCAATGCGGAGAGAGCGGAGCGTTGAAAACTTCCATTCGACCGATTACGTGTCGATGATGTAACACGTTACTGCCGGATCACCTCGTGATAAGAAGAAGGCGAGATTCTGTGCTTCGGGTTTAGATGAATACAAAAGATGAGAGAGTGCGCGTGGAAATTTCGATCAGACCGATTACGTATCGATGATCTAACAATCTGACCTATCTGTGGATCGTCCTTATTCGGATTTTAGTCGTTTCCCTTTGGTTACAAACTGGGTGATACTCTTATAAGGAGAGACACGCTCATTTCTTAACCTAATTTATCCCTATCGTATCATCTTCGTTACATTCTCCAGACTTTCGTCTCTTTCCTCATTTCTCCTCCTTGATTTCACTCATTTTCTCATTCCAGCCTTCACCTTTCATTTTTCTCTCCAAGACTGCTAACGAAATTTGTCGTTTTCGAGCAATCTACGAGGATGTTTAATTTGGTAGAGCTAAATTGAACGTTTGATTAAAGATAATCGTTCGAGTTCTTTTTCCCTCTAATTAGAGAAAGAATGCTGACGACGTTCGCTATCAGCAAAGTATTTTTAGCAAGTTATCGCCGAAACAGCGTGAATATTTCGCCGTTCGGGTATGCTGACAAGTGTCTTTTCCGTAAAAATACGACCGGCTGATAAAGCAAGCGACAGAGTAAGTAATGAAAGAAAAGAAAGTGAGAACGAAACGCGAACCTAATCCTCGTCTACCTGTTCCGCCCTAAGCTACCGCTCGGACACGAGGCGACGATGCATAAACGCGTCATTTCAGGCTTATTATTTGAAATGTCCGCGAAAACGTCCGTGTACAAGATAGAATCGGTATTCCGTGGATGGCGTTTTAATCAAGATCGTGTCACTTCGTTCACCTAATGCCACCAGCAACGTCAGAATCGTTGGACCAACGTGAAGTCGCAAGTTTTATCTGATGAAGAACGCTCCGTCCTTACCATGGGCATTTGCATAATCTAATATCTCTCGAACGAGGCTCGGACTGTTCAACGGAACTATACTTCTTCCAAGCTGTCACTTCCTTCTTGAAGAGAATCATCCCTGACACCTCGTTCCACGGTGTATATCGAGAAGAGGCGCGGTTGGAAAGAAGCAACGATTCAGTGAAACGCTTCGTTAAGTCTATCAATCTCTTCTTTTCTTCTTCCTTTTCGAGGAGCACGTGTTAAATGCGACGAAAATGTGTCGTTAAAATTGGGAGTATTTTCTCTTTTTTTTGAAGAGCAGAATAGTTTTAACCCTTCGATTAGGGACACTTTAGAGGGAAAGGTTCACTGTCAAATTCCTATCTCTCAAATTTTGAATTAACTCTGCTACCTATCGTTAAAATTCAAACTTTTTGAAATAGTAAAATATTTTTCCTTGTTTCAAGTATCATTTTTTCCTTTTAAGGAAAACGATATGTCATTAAAATTCTGAGAATTTTTTTCTGGAATCAAATTCGTTTTTTAAATTGGATTCTTTTGAAGAGAGTAACTTTCCTAGAACGATCTGGGCAATTTCAAATTTGACTCTTTTGAAGAGTGAAACTTTCTTGTCGCCATAGTTTCACGAGTCAATACTCAAACTTTAGCCTTTCGGAACAATTGGAACCCTTTAAAACCGAAAATTTCTGAAAACCTAAATTCTGAATTACCTCCACAACGCACCACTAAAATTCAAAACACTTTTCTTCCCTTCAAACACACTCACGACACAAATACCAGCCCGCACTGCAGAAATAAGCTACACCCGCAAAACGAACGACACGCGACACAAGACCATTAACAAAAGCAAACTATAATCATTAACCTTCGCAAAACCTCCGCAAAAAATGATATATCGTGTATGGCAATAATACGCGATAAATCATGGAACACCGAACGGGAAATAAAGAAAAATAGTCGTGGCCAGTTGCCCGGAGTCTCGCGCGTCGCCATTAAGAAAAATTCAATTTATGAAAACCAGTTCGAACCGTTCGTTTCCATGCAAACTTCCACACACAGAGAGAGAAAGAGAGACGTACGTACGTACGAGCAATTAAGCTGGCGATTCTAAATCAGAGTGAAAGAGGCGGTCTCGAATTGATTAGGACTCGGCGACCGTATTAGGAACCGGTTGCAACGCACATCTCTCTCGTGGAATAACGAGAACGAAGGAGATTCGACGTCTCAAGGACCGTGGGCAAAAGACGACACGTTACAAGACAGATGCAGGTTGACACACAACATTTGAAACTGTTCTCTCGACAACACACATTCACAATGCGTGCCTGTTTTCCAGTGACCGGTTTTCTAACGTACGCAAGAAACCACGGGAAATTGCCCGTTTCCGCAATTTTCTTTCGAACGTGGAGGAAAAAAAAAATTGGCAAATTAAGGGAAATGTGTTACGAGCACCGGACCAGGTGATTTTAGAACGTTATACAAGATTCTGGCGTGATAAAACACGGTGAAATGAACAGTTTTTGAACCGTTTATGTGTAATAATACGATCACAGGTATCGTCCGATGTTACGTCCACGCTATTTTTCACGTGATTAGGTTGTTATTCGAGAACTAATAAGCCCTACTTTCCGGATATCTTTTAGCTTTTCTTGCATTCTCTGTGCATACTTTTCCTCCATTTCTGTTTTCGTCTTTTATTATACGTTTGTGAATGTTAACTGTATAATGGAATTTTGTAGAAGAAATATTCGAAAGTATTTCAAATTTATAAGAGACGAATTTTGCACACACTGTGTACTTTTTGTTACTATCTGGATTGGTGGATTAGTAATTGAACTCCACGACATGCAAAATTACATCAAACCAAAGACTTTTACATTACCGCTCGAAAATTTAAAACAGCAAAATTGAAAGTAACTATGATAAAAAGAAATTAAATAAAATAAATTTCACCGTGTTGAGTTCCGTAGAAAATTTCGAATTTACCAAACAATACTAGAATTGCATCGAATTTCTGAGAGATCAAACTTAGGAGCGTTAGTGTACCTGGACGACTGTTACAATTATTCCACATGCATCGGGCTTCAAGCAAAACTTGCCACACGAACTTACCGAGATGTCTGTCCGGCGAAGTAAAAGGAACAAGCAAACAAACTTATTTTACGAGAAGATGTAGCACCGAGAAGCAAGGGAGCACGGTGTCTTCATGAAAGTAAAATCATTTCCTGGCGCAGGTACGTTCTCTCCCTGCAGGTTTGACGAGCACGTTCACTTCACCTGCCCAGGACTGTGTAGCTCCGGAACGCAAAGTGAAAACAAATACCCCACGATGTACCTGTCCTCGACGAGGGCAGACGGGTACCCCACGAAGCGGTGCATCGCGGTGGCCCTACGGGATTTGCTACGACCTTCAGGAACCCTCGTCCCGACCTCAACAGGTTCCTTCAGGAGGGTCTCTCTCTCTTAGCACAGCACTGCACTTGTGCTGGACTACGAAAGCTTCGGAGGATTTTTCCGTAGGGATCTGGATAGTTGTGGAGGAAACTCGGACTGTTGCGTTCGGTCGACAAATTGTAGGGATTGTGAGTTACGAGTGAAAATGAAATGATATGGAAGACGAAGAGTGGATTTCAGTGTCACATGTGGGAGGTTTCGTGCGACAGATAGATTACTTTGTTAATTGAGGACAGTAGCGGTGGAAAATCACTTTGCTCGGATTTTAAACGTTCTGGAAGTTTCACTACTGTTGCTTTTCTGGATTTTTCTAGCTGAGAACAGTATTTGTGAATATTCGCTTTGTTCCGATTTAAGAATCCTGGAAATTTCACTGCTACTGCTTCTCTTAATTGTTCTAACTGACAATGAGCACAGCAGAGGTGAGAAATGACTCTGCTTCGACTTGAAAGTCCTGGAAGTATAAGAAAGTCCTGCTATTGCTTCTCTTAATTTTTCCACCTGAGCACAGTATTTTCGAAAATTCACTTTGTCCCAATTTTAAAATCCTGCAAGTTTCACTGCTACTGCTTCTCTTAGCTTTTCTAACTAAGCACAGTGCACGTCTGAATGAATGGATAATATTGTAAGAAACACGTCGCGAAGAGTATAAACTCTCCAACTCTCGAAATTTCGTTTGGGTCACAAATGACCCAGATCACCCCCACAGTACTAAAAGCTACACAACACTCTACACTCCCAAAACCCAAATACTTCCAACCACTTCCACATCACACTGTTCCATAAAAAAACCCTTTACCACAGGTTGCGCCAAAGTAAACCTCCAAAATTTCTCCCTAATTTCCTCCAGCATCAACAGGTCGGTCAAAAGATCCACCTGATCCGAGTTAAGGTAACAGGTCGCTGGAAAAAAGCGTCCCTTCCCCCCAAAAAAACCTTGGTTAATTCAACAGACACCGAGACGAAGCAAGCAGAAGAGAGCAAGCAAGTAAAAAAAGAGGGTAGGTTAAAAGAGGAAACGCACGGGGGAAAAAAGAGTGTTTTTTATTCCTATCTGGTAACGTGCACTCGTGCGGCGAGGGTGTTCACGATTCCCCGCGGGGATGCAGGCGCACACGGAGAGAAAGAAAAAGCAGAGTGTGGAGAGGAAAGAAGAGAGAGGAAAATAAAGGCAGAGAGAAGCAAGTTCGAAGGCGTAGTTAATGACTCTGAGGGGTGCCATGGCTATCTCCACGTGTCTAGACTCTAGACCCTAAATCTCTCGAGCTTACTGGGGTAATGGAGGAAGCCAGCGAACATTATTGCCGCGCGTTAATTACTATAACTTACAGCCCTCTACCTCCCCATGCTTGCGCCAACTTGTTGATTTAAACGTAGCCGCCGCGTTCCTCTGCACCACGCTCTTTTCACGTCCGATGCTTCATCTAATTGGACGAATTAATCGTACCGCAGGTACGTATATAAATATTCCGCGCATAAGGCGCGGTGGTTTGCATGTCTGCAAGGTGCACGGAACCGCCGCGGCGGCGGCGGCGGCGGCCTTTTTGTTTTAGCTTCGTTCGATTCTGTCGATGCGGAAAATTAATAATAGCTCAGCGACAGATATAGTGGGGTATTTTCTGAAATATTGCCGTAATATCGTACGTGAATTCACCATGCTAGAATTATACACCGCCATGAGAAACAATTACTCGGAAGAAATACTAGCGTTTTTAATAACAGTTAATAATAACCATTTTTTTTTCACTCTCTTCTTTCTTGTTTTTTTTTTAATGTTACAGATTATTCACCGAGTACGGTAGTTGAAAGTAAGTGTGTGTGTATGTGGGTTGCAGAAACGTCGGCTTGACAAATTACCTCTTCGTATAGGAGGACGTAGTGCCATTTTTTTCTCTTTCTTTCTTTCTTTCTTTTTTTTTTTTTTGAGACGACGAGTCGGCACAATGAAAGGATGCAGCGAGAAAGGATGAAACGTTGGTGTACGCTTAAAGTAACGGGGAGATAATAACTTGACACGGGGATGGATATATGATGTATACAGGTTCGATTTCAAGTTTTGAGGAACGATATATGGAACAGCGAAGAAAGTTGCGAAAGGTGTATATGTGCCTATCGCGTGTAATCGTGACATGAGTTTAACAAGGGAAAGGATATTACAAGGATATTATTGTGCAGTACACATACTCCGGTGATCATGAGACAAGGCGACTTATGTGGCACCGTCGATGACAACGTAATTGACGGTGAAATTTCTCGTGCAACAATCTTTACGAACCATTTCAACGCGGTACGGTCATCTCTCGCAGAAAAGAAATTACAAGGTGTGGCAGATTCTACGTTGAAGGATACAACTTTTCCTTAAGAAGCTTAGTTTCGCAAAAATGGAATTTAAAGCTTCCTCTAATCAGAGGTGGGTAGAGCAAAGATTTGCTAATTTATCCAGCACTATAAACGTGAATTAATAAAATTGTTGATAAACGAATTTTCAAACTCCATTTCCTCAAAAACAAAGTTTAGCAAAAAAATCCTATTCTTCATTTTCAGTTAATTTTCACATATACAATCCCCCATACCCAATCATCTCACGAAGAAGACTCTAATCTCACAGAAGAATCTAATTTTCGTTAAATCACAACCCCTTTATCTTCCATACAGAGTGCGGTCGAAAGTTACGTTTAACAAGCTATCCCATTTTCCAATTTTTCCCCCAAAAAAATCACCTCGTACTCTCCAGTACGCAAGACTCGCGTCACGAATCCGTCGGAGACCTGTCGCAACAGGTTCGAGCGCAGATCCTCCCCCGAGAAACGGGCAAATACCCACCCTTTTGATGGAGAAACGGTGGTAAAAGGGCCGAAAGAACCCCGGCGGCTTCGCCTCTTCTCTCTCCCCCCTGGAAACCGGAGAGGCAGCGAAAGGAAAGATCCACCGAGAGAGGAAGGTCTCTGCGAACGAAAGCGAGGGGGTGATCGCGGGGGTGGGTGAAGAGGCTGTGCAGGTCGGGGTGGTAGGTCGGATTAGTGTCGGAGGGTGTCAGAGGGAGGGAGAAGAGCGGCAGATGGTCGGCGTGGACCCTGACGTGGGAAGCTCCGAATTCTCCAAGTTCCCACAGCCAGAGTGCACCTGCCCTCCCCACTCTGTCACCCCGTCCTGCTTCCTCGGGCCTATATAAGGTCCGGGGTTGCTCGTCTAAGGCATCATTCGCTCACTAGCGTTTCGTACCAAAGCACCTCAACGATAACCATTAACCGCACACGTTTTACACGCATCCTCTTCACTCTTCCCCGAGCTTCGCTTACGAACCAAGATACGCTCTCTTTCGTAAGTTATTTCGGCCTATTCCAAGTTCGGAGTTGGACGGTCTTTGCCGCGCAAATCTACGCAGGAGTCCAGTGTATACACGCACACAGAGATACACGTTTACTCCGCTTTTAAAACCGGTTCAGTGTTGCCCGCCACCAGTCGAGAATTAGCAAAAGAACAACACGATAAAGATGGCCGCCACCACAATGAACCACGTGTTCGACTACGAGAACGAGCTGAACGACAATCTCTACAACCTGAAGATGTCGGGAAAGACGTCTACGGCTACTACGACTACTACGAGCAGCAGCAAACGAGTCAGAGGTGTACTCAAGCCTATTCTACGACTGCTGAAGAAGAAAACCAGCCGGGGGAAATACGGCAAGGGGCAAAAAGCGATGCCACAGGTGGAGATATTCACCGAGGAGGTCGACAACCAGAACAACGCTAACGAAGCACTGGAGAGGAGACTTCTGGCGGAACTTCAGGACGCCGAGGAGGGAGCAGCCATTACTGTCTGCCTCGACGGACAGATGACAGTTGTACCGGTTGTACCTGGTCAGTGCTACGTGCCCGTTCATTTCGCGCACACCCACGCCGGAGACTTCTACTGGACGACCCTGAGCATGGCCGACAGTGACCTGTGCTACAAGGAGCGAGCTTTCTCGCAGCATCAAACGCCCGAGATGCAGGTCGCGTAAAGAGTACCCACCTCGTATCTAGAGACTACTTTGACGAACGTCATCTACCTCAAATTCGAAGACTCCTGGTCTGTCGAGAAACAAGTTCTCCTCGTCGTGACTTCCAAGTGACGCGAACAGATTTGACGAGGGCGAAGACAAGCAGCTCTTCCGGGCTCAACGGCGAAGAAGAAGAGGCAAGCATGTCTCGTTCGTGCACGAACCGTTAAGATCGTAACTCTCAGCCCTGAAGAGAAGGACAGAGGCTCCAACCCTCTCTCGTTCCTGTCACAGACTGCCTTTATTTTTCTTAGATAAGATAGCGTCGAAACTGTGATAAATAGATTGTAGTTTCTTAAACTGATCGTCGTACGAATGAGAAATTGTGGGAAAGGAAAAACGTATCCTGTGCACGATGAGGCACTTTGGCCGAGAGAGATCAGTTAGAGAGAGTAAACACGAAAATATTTTATTTTTTTGTCTTCACTTTTGTTTTTTAAGTAACGCTGCGACTGTATAAAAGGTTTGGTCGCGATTGTGATATTTGTACCTATTAGGTTAATTGTTGTATGATGTACACATTGTGATATCGGCTTTAACGTTCGTCTTGCTCGACGAAAATTCCTACTGTCTTCCAATTTGTTAAGAGAATAAATAAATGTACCTTTGTAAGATCAATCAACCTGTTCCACGTTATTCGCAGTACACCTTTCGCATGGCAGTTGGTTAAGCTTTCTGATATTCGAGTATTAAGTTTCCGAAGATTGAACGGAGAAAGAGAAAATTGGTCCGAATATCCTCGTAAATAGATAGTTACGTGAAAGAGCCTATTTTTTGAGGAAATTCGGTTGTTTCGATAGGTGATTCCACCTGCGATTTCTATAGAAATCGTTAGCCCTTCGTAACCGACAGTACTACTTGGACAAAAGATTTCCAGAGCTGAAAAGGGTCCCATTCATACCTGAAAACAGGTTTGAGAAAGCCTCGGGGGTCTTTTCAGCCCTTTCTCTCTCGGGGAGAGATTCGAAAAATCTCTCCAAGAATTTCGAGTCCACCGTGACGGGGATAGTTTTGTCCGAAGACATTACGAACTTCTACAAAGAACACGGTCAAAAATTTCCCAGTCGTGATCGATGAAAACTCAGAGTTTGGAAAGTTTCTCGCAAACGTCCACTTCAAAGTTTGCCTTTAGGCGGGAAAAATTTCATTCTACAAAGATGAACACTTGAGAACAATTTCTATATTTCTACTCCTCTATTTCTTTCGAATAATCAAAGTGTCCTTTTGTTCCCCTTTTTTACGCTTTCATTCAGTTCTCCTTTCTTGCACGGTTAATCAATGTCCGCACCTGTGATTCTTGGTACAAGGTGAAACAGGTTTCTTATGTAACACCGAAGAAACTCTGATTGACTTCTTCTTATCGCAATATTGAATTTATTCGAAACTTACTAAAATTTCTGTTATTTTTCCAATTCACCGTTCAACAACTCCCTGCATTTGTTACGTACTTTAACGAAATTTAGGCGGAGCTAATGAAAGTATACAATACCTGCGGAACAGCGAGATCTTAGGTAAGTTAGTTTCACGAGAAGTGAACGTTAGTTACAGTGGATGTTTCACGTGGAGATTATTAGAACGAATCGTTCGTTTATTAGAAATGTGTGACACACGTGTTGCCCATATGTGACAGGCACACGTCCATCAGGGTGGATAGGGTGCACGATTTGCCGTGACCGGACCGAGGTAACCGACCCTTTTGCTCCAACAATAACAAAAGATTGCGGCGTGCACGATCCTCGTGTATCAGATGATAATACAATAATAAGAGGGGTGCATAATTTGGGGGATGGTTGGTCGTCGATAGGGTTAACTCGATGTTCTGTTTATTCAACGGTCAGCCAACCGCGAGAATACGACTGAACGAGTTCAATGTGTCCCTTTAAAAAGGGGCTGAGAGTGAAAATGTTGCGTTCGATATCACAATGGCGAAAGTTAGATTGCAATTAAGGTGCAATAGTCGGGAGAACGTTTCGAACTTTCTCTCCTATTCATTTGCAAATTTTTGTACACTTTTCTTTTTAGGTGACTGTGGGTTCATTAAGAAATTATTTAAAACTATTAAAATTATTGCAAGTTATATATTAAAATTATTAAAAATAATGTTAAAACTAAGGATAAATGTAACGGATGAGGTAGGAGTTATTGTGGAAGCTGTAAATAATTTTTTTTTCGATATGCATGAGAGGATTATATAAAATGGTAGTAGGAAAAATGAGACGTATGAGTGTATAATGTATATGAGATTAAATTGATAGATACGTGTTTTTTTATATACGATAACAACGGGAAAAATGGATGAAAAAGAAATGGTTTTTAATGGTCGACGAGGCAATGGAAGCCTGAAGGGCAGGCAACCCTTCGTACTATCCTGCATTAGGACCAGCTTGAAATGCACATTTAAGAGGATCCATAAGAGAGATCTAGCAAAAATTATGCTCGTACAATCACTCCTTTCAGAAAGCTAGATTTTATTTAAAGGATGCATTCAATATTAATAATTTTCATGCAAACAATTAATTTATTTCAGCCTCCAATTTTTACAGCAAGTATCTAAAATAATCAACACATACAAATGTACAAAACTATAAATAAGCCTTCTTAATAATATTTTTTATCGAATGTTAAATAAACATAAACAGATTGAAACATTATTCTTAAGTGTCTCGGTAAAATAAATTTATAAAAATTTATCGCACGTTCAATTTTTCGCCGTAAAATGAAGTGTAACTTCTCCAAACCGAGAAATAATTAACTTTCACGGGTTAATTTTATTCATTAAAAAACCAGGAAACATAATTACTTTCGAAAAGAGCAGCTTAGCAAATACTTTGATTTCCCCTGATCTCGATCATATTATCATGCTTCACGTCACGTTTTAAAACGCGACAAGCTCGCAAATTCTCCATAATCTTAAATATAAAATTTCCATCGCACGATCTCGCCAATAATGAAACAACCTGCACACACTTAAAGCAGACAAACAGGTCAGTCACGCGAAATGTATTAATTATACAAACTACATTTCGTTGATCAGCTTAATCGGTGGTGTTCCCATCGGCCAAATTAATTCATTACTGCTCGGCTTTGGTCGGTGTACAA